CAACACCTCGTGACCGCACAGGCTGGTGTGCTTCTTCCATGTGGGCTTTGTTGCTTCTGAGCTAGATGGCTGCTTGTTTACCTTCAAAGTGGCTGTATATGTTTATGCAAGCAGAGAGCTTCTTCTTTCTCCCACAGAGCAGTCTGTGGGTTTAAACTGCTGACCTTGCATTTAGCAGCCCACAATGGAGCCCAGTAGGCCGCAGGCTCCCAGACTCGCCCATAGCTCGCTCTGTGTTTCCCCATGGATGAGTCGGAGGAAGATAATCCTCCCAACACCACCTCTCCCAGCTCCCTCTTCACACTCACCCTTTCCCCAGGCCCATAGGGGGCGCACATGTCTTGTGCTCTAAGTGCTCACCTACAGGTTAGTGGTGTGACCTGCGCTGTTCAGAGTACAGCCACGCAGACTCGATGGAGCACAGTTCCACCCTAACCCACGGAGTCGTCATGTGTCCCAATGGGCTTGATGGCAACAAAAAGCAACACCCCCTACAATTCTGGGGGAGGTCCTTGCTCCAAGGGCAGGGTGCCTGTGCGGGGTTTAAAAGGTCCCCGGATGACTAGGTGGGTGCTGGAGGCTCAGTGGTAGACTTCTCACCTTCCATTGATTGGTTCTTGGCCAATGCACCTGATGCCCAGCACCACCCGTCTGTCGATTGAGGCTTGCGTCTTGTTGTGCTTTTGAATAGGTGTCAGTGGAGCTTCCAGGCTAAGAACAGACGAGGCAGAAAGGCCTGGTGATCTACTTCCAAATTCCAGCTAATGGAAACCCTGTGGATACCAAGGGTTAATTCCAAAAAAATTGTAGCAAGGGTACCAGACCGGGCAACGTTCTGTTCTGTTGCGCATGGGCCCTCCTGAGTTGGGGGCTGACTCAACAAGTGCCAACCACAGGACTACCAAGGATGGGTGCGGCCTCTTTTCCAGTTCAACAGATTTTAAGGCTCTCTCTGCCTTTGCAATTGTTCCCTCGTGTCCTAGGGGACCTGGGGTCTTGGGTGCTTCTGTCTTGGCCTCAGCTGGCTAGAGTGAGCCCTGAAGCAAGGGCTTCCTGCTGGGTCTCCTGCTCCCTTCTACCGCCCTCTCGGATCTGGGGATCTGCTTCTGATCAGAGGACCGCCAAGGAAACCTGGTGGAGCCCGGTCGTGGCAGGGAGGTGGTGGACTCTTCACTCCACGCGTGGGTTTGGGGACAGAGGGCATGGGCATTTGGGCTGGCTCTGCTTCTAAATTCCCTAGGCCCGCTTACCGAGGCAGAGGAGGCATCTGAAGGACACAGCCAGGCTAGCACAGTCAGACAGGGGCGAGGGGCAGAGCTTGCCTGAGAACCCAGGAGCAAGTGCAACTATCATTTGCATCTTCTGCACACACCAAAAAAACTTTTTCGGGACTCCAGGGAGGGATGATTACCTAGAGCAGGTTTCATATAGTTCTCAATACCACATTATCCTCCATAACACCACGAGGGCCAAGCCATCTTCATTTCCAATCAAACCATCAAAGGGTCCCACTACGCTCTCGGACTTCAGGGTTATGGCGGAGCCACATCCTTCCTGGGGCTCACTGACATTGAGCCATCCTCCCGTTTCCTTGTCACCCCATCCAGCTCTCTAGCTTGGTCGAGACTACTGGCCTGGACAGGGGGATTTGGCTATTCTATGCCAATCAGCTTCATCTCATCCCTTTTGTCATGGTGAATGGTCCGGAGGCTAAGACCTGAGCCAATCAGCACGTGCCATTCCCGGAGTTGGGCCCAGAGCCCAGGGGTGTTACAGTGGTTGTGGGGTGAGACTCGCCCGCCCTGGGAGCCGCTGGTAGCCGTCTCGAAGCTGGAGAGTGCACGGTGCTGAGATGCCCGCCTCTGCTGGGGCTTCATGATGAACAAAGCACATCTCACTGCCTGAGCCCATGAGAGGTAGGTTAGGTCTGTGCGCACGACGTTTTTCACAACCATCCCCCACATCTTGGCAGAGTAAAGAGGAAATCAAAGCCAACTGGAGCTTATGTGTTGGGCGACAATCTACAAGGTCTGCAGTTCAAATCCACCAGGAGCTCCGAGAAAGACTTTCTATTTCTATGGGGCTTTTTATTCCCACACACAGTTTTAATCTTAGAATCCCCCCCCCACAAAAAAAGAATCCCACAGGGGCATTTCTACCCTGTCCCACAGGCAGGTGGGGAGTTGGTATTGACTCCAGGCAGTGAGCGTGTTTGCCCACATGAAGGGCATTTGGCCCTCTGCTAAACTCAGTGGATCCTGAAGATCTCCAGATTTGAGCTCTGCTTCATGAACTCACCCGGAGCCGTGGGTAAGCGGTGTCCTACTTTGAGCAAAACTGTATGTCCGCATCTGTAATTAGAGGGCAGTCAGTTGGATGACTTCTGGGGTCTGTCCCTGTTAGGAATGCCACACTATGGGCTAGGATAACCTGGCAATGAGGTTCCCTCCTGACACCCGAGCCCCTTGCTCTGGGCCTGTTTCAGCAGGTCTGGGTGCATGGGCCTCAAAGGAGCCCTGGTGGCGCGGTGTTTGAGCGCTTAGCCGCGAACCAAAAGGCTGGGAGTTTGAACCCACCAGCTGCCCCTTGGAAGATGAGGCAACCCACTTCCATGAATCTTCCACATAGCCTTGGAAACTCCACGGGGGCAGCTCTACTTTGTCCTATAACAGGATCACCATCAGTCGGAACCCACAGGTGGGCAATGAGTGGGACTTGGGAATCGCATGCTTATCTAAACACGACACCCCCGCACCCCACCCCACCCCCACGCTTTCTCCAGGAAGATGCTGATAGGGAGCTTGACTCACGGGCCACACCTGCTGAGCATTCTGTTTCAGTCCCTCCGGCCTCCTCCTTTACAGAAAGGAAAGGTCCAAAGTGAACGGAAATGATTTTCACTCCCTTTTCTCAAGCGGCTAATCTTTAGAAATTTCTAGAACAACGGAGCAAAGCATAACTCTCCTTTTCTTTAAAAAAATTTTAAAATTGTATTGGGATCCCTTACAGATATCACAACATTCCACAGTTCAATCACATCAAGCGGCATTGTACAACTGCTACCACAATCAGTTTCCAAACATTTTCTTTCTTCTTGATAGCAGTCTCCCCGCCCCCCCTTTTAATCACTTTTTCTCTTTCCCTTTCAAAGGGATCACAAGGGGTAGCACCAGTTTAGCCTCTGAACTCCACCCCAGAACTTGTGTTTCAGCCTCTCCTCTGCTGGCAGGCTGTTTGGGGGCATGGGAGACAGAGCCACAGAGAACGTCACCCATGGCCCTGGCACGAGGAACGGCACGGTGGATTCCTCCCGGGGCCAACACAGCACCCCTCTTCCTAGGGCGTGCTGTGCTTTCTTCTCCTCACCCCAGGCTGAGTTACACGACAGCCTTCTTTGGGCCCCATCGCCGTCATCTCCTCCAACAAGCAGTGCAAGGGCGTGGCCTGCAGGAGCTCCCATCCACCCGAAGCGGAGCCAGTGTAAAGAACATATGTACACCACAAAGTCCATGTGTATGGGATGCAGGCCACAGCCCCGAGGGGCCGCCTCTTACAGCTGCTTGGCTGATGACATCGGCTCACACCCTGGACGCAGCTACATTATGGAAGTGCAACTAGTCTAATATCTGCCCAACCACCGAGAAGCACGCCCTAGCCAGGGGGACACAGAACAGCAACGTCACATCATTTCGTACACTTTACGATCTGCCGCTGTCTTTATTTGTGACTTTCATAACTGTTTCATCATTGGCTGCTTTCGATTCATTTTGGGAGCAGACAGGTGAGCACTAGCCAAAAGCTTGGTGGTTTGACCTCACCGAGAGGCTCCTGGGAAGACTGGCTTGGGGGTTTGCTTCTGAAATGTCAGAGCCTTAAGGACCCTAAGAAGTAGCTCTACTCCACACGTCCAAGGTCACTGGGAGTCAGCACTGACTGGACACGCCGACTGAAAACCAGTGTCGGAACTGGGCAGAAAACAAGGCAGAAGCAGTTTGAGGAAATGGATTTTTATTTCTTTTCTTAAGAAAAAATAAATAAACTGAACACACTGGTCAGGAGGGATTTTCTTCCAGCCCCGCTGTAAGAAGCCACTGCCGTGAGGATCCAGGCAGACAGCAGGCCACGTGGCCCCGCCGTGCAGGGGAGCGGCTCAGAAAGATTCTGGGGGCAGGCGGTGCGGAGTGGGGGGCTGCGGCGGGGCCGGGAGCATCCCCAGGCTGCGTGGAACCCTCACAGTTCGGTTTTTACCTTGTGCATCAAGTCCTTTTGGTCGATCTTGTCCAGGTCCTGGTACCACCGGTTGTAGGCCAGCAGGGCCACGTTCTTGGCGGCCACAGCCATCACCTCCACGGAGCTGGCCGCCCACTCCAGGGCGCTGAGGTGGAAGAGCTGGTCGTGGAGTGCGAAGCTGGGGAGGGTGCGGCGGGAGCCGTAGAGGGGGTGGGCCTGCCACTCAGCCGTCTGTACCGAGTAATAGGAACGGAAGAGGGTCTTGAGTTGGGTCCGAAGGAGGGGCTTGGGGGACTGGACTCTCCAGACGGCTGCCTCCTGAGGCTGCTTCCGCCGGAAGTTGGCCGAGATGTTGACAGGGCATATGTTGTCCAGGGTACTGAAGAAGCTGGGGAAATCCGTGGTAAGGATGCTGGCAAAGGGGAACAGTTTAGGGTCGGGGAAGCCGAAGTAGGAAGAGTTGAGGTAACCGTGGACCAAGGAGACAACGGTGGGCTGGTAGGCAGCCTGCAGGTCATCGATGGGCGGCGTGAAGCCTTGGAAGGTGAGGTTGCTGCTGCTGTTGTCCAGGTGCAGGGGGCTGGCAATGACCACGATGTCGTAGAAGTCGGAGCTGTGGCGCTGCTCGGTCTCGTAGCCTACCTCGTACAGGGCCTTCCCCTCTGGAAGGAGAGGGGAGACACACCATTCGCCTTCCTTTGTGCTTGGCTTGCTGCTCTCCCACCCGGGTCCCACCACCGACGGCACCATGCCAGGGGCTCGGGGTGGAAAGCGGGCAGCTGGGTCCAGGAGGGGGTCCCAGTTTCCACGTGCTGGTGTGGCTGCCCCGGAGCCCATGGGGCTGGAATCAAGAGAACCCGTTCTGGTTCTGACCAGCTGGGGGCAGCACCTAAGGTGGTGGCTCAAAGGTTTCACTGGATTAAGGAGGAGGTCCATTTCTGCAGGGGGACAGCAGTGCCCTCTGGTGTCACTCAGCAGTGCTGGGCTTCCTGGGTGGTTTTCCCCTTTCTTTCCCCCAACACTCCCCAAGAGATCAGAAGCCAGGGTTTGGGTACAGACGGCAGAGTAGGGGTGTCTGGGCACGGGCTGGGCCCGCCTGCTGCTCTTGTCCACTCACCCTTACTGTGCAGGGTCACAGAGGTCACCGTGGCGTGGATCACGTTAGCCTTGGTAAGCCTCAGCAAACCAGAACAGACCAGCTTGTTGCCTCCCTCCACAGACCACAGGCTGCCCTGGGCCCCGGCAAGTGACATGGCCCCTGGACAAAGGGGGAAGGTGGGTGGTGAGTTCTGGGGGGTGGGAGAGCCCACTGCACCCACTGTGAGCCTCCTCCCAACCACAGGCAAGGGCCCTAACCCTACCCACTGGCACAAGGCAGGGAAAGCACCGAGCCACAAGTAAAGCAGACAGGATTTGTGATGAATCCCTTATAGGGCGGGAGGGGAAGAAACGAGCTGAGGCTTTGCTGGAACAACAGAAAGGAAAGGAGTTCTTCTCCATTATCCTCTGGTGGCAGAGTGGTCACGTGTAGGGCTGCTAACTGCAAGGTCAGCAGTTTGAAACCACCAGCCGCTCGGTGGGAGAAAGTTGAGGCTTTCGACTCCTGTGAAGATCTTCAGGGGCAGTTCTATCCTACAAGGTGGTTGCCACAAGCTGGCTTGACACAGTGGCAGAGTTGAGGAGCTGGGCAAGAGCAGGGGAGGAGCAGGTCTGAGGGCAGCGGGGGCCCGGCTGGGTGCGAGGAGCCCGCTGGCTTTCGCATTGGCAGCTGACACAGGAGTCTGCCGCTCCTGGGGGAGCTCTGGGAGTCGGTCTACTGAAAGTCTTGTGACCCCATGAGATTGTTAAGGGAACTCGGGTAGTTGAGAATTAGCCAAGGATTGAGTTGTGGCCCTCCCATGCTATGAGGGTGGGAGAAGAGAAGGAACCAGTCTCCCTGGAGGAGGGCAGCCAGTGCCCGCGCAGCTGGTTAAAAGCCAACCACATCGTATCAGGCCCAGAATAGTCACCACCCTTGGGGGAGACTTGCCTCAGCTCCCCTGGCAGATTTGGCTTTGACCCCTCTGGGTGCTGTGCAGCTGTACCATGCCCACCTGCTGGGGGGCGGGGGGAGGTGCTGCAGCGGATAGATACCAGGTCAGAGGCCCCAGAATGGCTGCTCTTGACACCAGGGTAGAGAGCAGAGTATGACCTAAAGGCTGCACTTACACACTTACACTTACACAAAGGATTGTCAGACAGCCAGGAGTGGCCAAAGCACTCGGGGCCTGTGACGTGAGCCTCTATTTCACACACAGTTGCGGAGGCTCTGTGTGTGTGTGTCTGTGTGTGTGTGTCTGCACTCGTGACTGCCAGCTCCTGCCAGGACCAGGTGAGGCTGGGGCAACAAAGGGCAGAGTGCTTAGGCAAGAAAGTCTTCCTGGAAGCTGGGCGGAGGTGAGGTGGCACCTGGGACCCCAGCCCATCCTGAGCACCACGGGGAGGCTGAGGGTGGGCAGGCCGGGGGCGGAGGCTCACCGGCAAAAGCAGGCATAGCTGCTGACTGGCCGTAGCTGGCCCGCAGGACGGCAGAGACGACGTCGTCGATGAAGCGCTGTGTGACGCCCACCTGGAGCAGGGACTCGGCCACGGAGCGCTGGGTCATGTTGATGAAGGTAGCCTCCCCCAGAGAGTAGAGCAGCTCCTCCACCCCAGAGAAGGCGTAGCCGTGGGCCTGGTACTTGTAGATCCTGGGGACACACAGCGCCAGGCCTCGCGCACCCACCCAATACTGGGGCCCTCACCTGGAGGCCTGCCAGGCGCCCTGCTTGTGAAGCTGGTCAGCTCCCCGACCCGCCCTTGTTCTGGTGGTAGCCCCTCCAAGGGAACAGGGCAGAGGGAAAGGTGGGAGAGTGTTCTTCTGCCTTCCCATCTGGCTCTGCTGGGTGACAAAGATGGCACCTCTCTGAGCCTGCCCTGCCTGAGCAGGGCAACAAAGGGCAAAGCACTTAGGCAAGAAAGTCTTCCTGGAAGCTGGATGGATGTGGGGTGGCACCTGGGACCCCAGCCCATCCGGAGCACCATGGGGAGTCTGAGGGTGCCAGCCAAAGCCCTGCAGCCTCCCACGGCCATCCCTCCGCCAGATGCTCCCGCTTTGTCTTTGCTTTTAGGACCTTGGACCACACGGCAGCACCCTCTCTGCTGGCTCCAGGGTGCTCTCCTCAGGTCCAATCTGGCAGGGTACCTGCTCCCTCCCAGAGCCACCCCCCCCCCCCACCAGCAACCCACTCACAGGGGCTGGCCCCACGCCTGCAGCCCTCAGCTGACTGACGTCCGCAGCTGGTCTCTGGGAGGCCGCCTAGTCTGGGGCCATGGCTGAGGGTCAACAAGACAAGGGGGGCTGTCCGGGAGGCAGTTCAGGTGTGGGCGCGGAAGTTAGGAGGCAACTGGGCTTCAATCGACAGATGGAAGTCATCTTCTGCAGAAAGGAGGACCCAGCGTCCTGGGCTCGGACCATGTTGACAAGGGCGAGCATATGACCTTTCCTAGGGCGGGCGAAACGAGGGCAGGAAGGCCCAGACTCTGGCACTGGGCGGACAACCGGCCAAGGGAGCAGTCTCTGAGCACCTTTCGGGGCTGGGGGGCTGACATTGGGGTGAACGTGTCCTGCAGTCTCTAGGTGCTGATCAGGAAGGGGCGAGGAGTGAAGGGGACAGGTAACGGAGGTGGCGGAGCCTTACCTCATGAACTTCTCCATGACCTCCTCCACCCACATCTGCAGCCGCAGGAAGCCGATGCCGTAGTGCCACCACAGCCGGAAGAGGTTCAGCAGGTACCAGTCGGTCTCCTCCAGCACCAAGTGTGCCCCGCCGAAGATGGCGCTCCGGCCCACCACCTCGCGCCGGTGCCGCAGCCCTGCGGGGACACGGAGTGCGCTTGGGCAGCCTGGACTGCGGGGCCTCCCAGAAGGACCGGGAGAGAAAGCCCAGTCTAGGTGGGCCACGGGCGCCGCTCTGTTCAGACAGGCACCAGCGCCTGGGCACTTGCTCGGCTGTGCTCGCTGTTATGGACAGGGAACGGGAGTGAACGCGGCCACCCTAGGGTGCCCAGGGCTTGCTCTCGGCGGCAGCCCTGGCAGCCCAATCCCAGCGCCATCTAACTTTGCCCCCTGGCGGACTGAGCCGGTAGAGTGGCGCTCACTGCTCCCGCGAAAGATGGGGAAACCGAGGCTTAGAGGGCATATGGCCTGCGCCAAACCTTCCCTCCCCAACCTGCCCCCGAGTCACTACATTCCCTCCTGGGGACAGCCGGGAAGTCCATTGCCCGAGCACCTGTCCAGAGACAGTTGACCCCACACACTGTCCACAGGGGCCGCCTGGCATCTGGAAAAGACGTACTTCCTCATTCTGGATGCCCGACGGCCGATTGTGTGGGCCCCATCACTTTCTCATCACTGGGGCATCTAGTTAGTGCAGAGGATGTACTGAGCAACCGTGTCGGCAGGCCACCTTGCAGGCGTGTCCGCACACGTGTAGGATCCCTTCTGAGAAGAGGCGTTTCTGGATCAAACGGGGTATATGCCAGTGAGGCCTGCAGCCCGAAGCCCCAGCTCTCGCTCTGGTTCACTGCATGGCTTTGGCCCAGGCCTAGACGCGCTCAGTCCGTTCCCTTGGCAGGCGCTAGCCCCCACGGTGAAGGCTGGTGGGCAGGGTTAGAGCAAGCTCTCCTCTAGGGGTGCTGGGAGTCAGAACCGACCCCAGGGCAGTGAGTTTGAATTGACCACCTGGAAGGGTGCCAGCACGTGGCCCGAGGGAGCCACGTGGGGACGACTACCAAGAGGCGGCACCTTGAAAGGAGGAGAAACTGGCCTGGGAATTAAAGCTGAGTTCTAATCCCTGCTCTGCCATGGACCCACTGTGCAACATCGGGAAAGTTCTTGCCCTCTCTGGTCTCAGGAGAGTGAAGTGCATGAGTGTTGGGCCTTGACCGTGGGCAGGGCGGGCGGCCACTCACCCAGCAGCCTGACGAAGTCCTGCATGTGCAGGCTCAGCGAGTGGAAGGATGCGGCCCCGCTCTCGTAGTGCTGCTTGTTGACAGAGATGGTGGCCAGGCGGCCGCCCACGGTCCCCTTCTCGAACACGTCGATCTGTACGCGGGGCCCGAAGTGCTGCTGGAGGAAATGGGCCACAGCGGAGCCCCCGATGCCAGCCCCGACCACGGCTGTCAGCAGGCCCGCCAGGCGGGGGAAGAGAGACGAAGGAGGTGAGAGGCTGCGGGTGGCCCCTCAGTCCTCCCACCGTCCCCAGACAGTGTGCTCCACGGACGCAGGCCCTTTCGGAAAGGAGGCTTGCAGCCCGAGGACTTGATGAGGTTATTAAGAAAGCACAAAGGCCACCTAAAACCTGTCTGTTACTTTGCCCCTCAGTTGACAGAGACACTTTAGCAGCGAGAGAGCAGGAAAGAATCTCCAGGTTCTGCGTGGTCCTTTTAGCAGAATGCCCTTCGTTTGCTACAAAACTCACCATAAGACCAATTTGCTCTGTAAGCTTTCAATGAACCCACACAAAATGCAAAAACCCAACAACAACCCAAAGTGCAAACAGCTAAACCAACCCACCCCCCACTCCATCAAATCAAAACCAACCCACCTCACTCGGTGGCAGTTGGTTTATCATCGCTGGTATTCCTACCTCTAACCCGGTCACCTGTAAACTCGGCTGTCAGTGGCGTGGACGTTCTCGTGCAAGTCACTGATCAGAACAGCTCACTGGGCAGGGGTCTGAGGTGCTACCGGGAACCCGTCCCGGCAGTCTTATCATTAAACAGCAACTTTAGAGAACTGAAAGCCATCTGTGAAACTATGGAGCTTGACTATCCCCCCGCCCACAGTGCTTGCCTGCCATGAATCTGAGGCAGCTATGAGTCTAGTTGTCTTACTTACAAGGAACAGGAGGGAAATCCGGTGTGACTGGTCCTGTGGGGCCCACACCAGACCACCCTCACTAGGTTGTGACAGGCAAACCTCAGACACTAGCTGGTTCATCATGCTCCGACTCCTGTCACCTCAGCCGCGGGCTGAGCTCCCGATACTCCACTCTCTCATCTGCCTCCGTGTCCTTCCCCACAGTGTCCTTGCTTACGCTCTCCCTCAACAAGGGTCGATGACTTGCTCCCCTTGTCTACAATGATCGCTGGCTTCTACCGCTCCTAGACGTTACGTTCAGCTTGGCTTGCTGGACCTTAGAAGGCAGGCCTCGTGGCAGATCCTGAAAGACTCATCTGCCATCAGCAGTGATGGCCCTCATGCCCTGTCTCTGCTGAGTCAGGTTTGAGTTTCTGGCAGCTCCCTGGGATATATTGCTGCAAGTATTTTCTACTCAATTATCTTGAGTAGGAGTTTACTTGAATGTGATAGTGATATTGATTGGCAATGTCCACATGCTGTTGGGTTGTCTTTCTTTGGAATGGGCACAAATATGGATCTCATCTTGTTGGTTGGTCAGGTAACTGACTCTCGTTAACCCTCCCAAGCTTTGAGAGCAGGGCTGCTATAGCCCTCGAGCCAGGCTCAGTAAACAGCTGTTGTACATGCCCGGCATCTCCAAGGCATTTCCAACGACGCCCTTAAACTTCACACAGCTATATGCACTGACACGTTCTCCTTCCCCTCCATCTGCAAACAGAGTTGCAAAATATCCTATTTTCCCTGAGAAACTGCGACCCCAAGTCCTGGAAGCTGCTAGAGAGAGATAGGGAAGCAGACATCAACACCTCATTGTGTACCACTGAATTCAGCACTTTACCAATCCCCAGTGATCCTGGGGCCGAAAGATGACTTACACAGGGCTTCTGCCCCCAGGAGCCAGGCACGGGATGGGCCGACGCATGCACAGTTAGTTCTGGCAACCTGGGACGAAGCACAACAGTAGGGCCCACGGAATCCCAACGAGGAAGCAATGAATTCTGCTAAGAAGGGGCAGGGACAAAGCTTTAGCTTGGCTGGATGGCGCTCTGAAGTACCATCTGATCAAGGCCCTACAGGACAGCAGGGCTTTTGGCCAGTGAGAAGAAACATATTCTCTCCAGAGAGAGCCGAATGAACAAGGGAAGCATGTCAAATGGAACTGTGGGTGGGTTGAGGAGGTCAAGATGCCACGCCGAGGTGTTCAGACTTGACGTCCTTCTAACAGGAAGTGCTTCGTTCCTGTGGGTGGAGTCTGAAGCACTCAGGAGGAGCACAGGCTCTGGTCAGTGGGCTGAGGACAACAGGGACAGCTACCGGACAGCTTGCCATTGCCACATGTCCTGCCTGGGAGAGGTGGCAGGGGCAGACCAAGTCCTCCATTGCCAGAGACTGTCCTGCTGGGATGAGGCTCTCTGTACTTTCCCCAATGTCCTGCGGCTTGCTCCCACAGGGTGGGGTAAGACCCTGTAACCTCTGGACACTACCTGACAGACAGGCAGGTCATTAAGACCTCTTTCCCGTTCTTCGACGCCTGGCTTGGAATCAACCTTCTCTTTGAGGTCTTCTCTGGCCACTCCAGTTCTCAGAATTCCCTTGCTCTGCAAGCGATCAACTCCACGCCCAGCTGAGCTCTGACATGTTTCAGGTCAACTTTGCTCACTGCCATCAAGTCGATTGTCTCACAGCGAAGAACTGCGCTGTGCGCTTCCGACCACGTCAACTGCTTATGGCCCGGGCTGTGGGTCTGTAGTTTAAGAAACCTCACCATAGCACCGATCCCAGCAAGTCTGTGGTGGTTCTCTCGGGCATCCCAAGGTACTTCTGACAAGTGCGGTGCGTGGAAGGCGTGAAGACCCACCCCCACCTCTGCCTAGAATTATTTTATGAGAGGGAGTGAAAATAACACTTTTTAAAAGGAAGAAAGAAAACAAAAACTGCAGGCAGATCAAATATGGAATTCTAAGAAATTGTCGAGAAATTTGGAAGTCAGTTACCTGGCCAACCAACTGGGAAAGGATCCATATTTGTGCCCATTCCAAAGAAAGATAACCCAGCAGAATGTACAATAGCATTAATATTGTTACGTGCAAGTAAAACTCTACTTAAGATAATTAAAAAATGCTTGCAGCAATATATCCCCAGGGAGCTGCCAGAAACTCAAACCTGATTCAGCAGAGGACAGGGCATGGGGGCCATCACTGCTGGTGTCAGATGAGTCTTGGTTGGAAGCAGAGAATACTAGAAAGATGTTTACCTGCGTTTCATTGACTAGTCAGTCGTTTGACTGTGTGGACCAGACCACATTATGGATAATATTGAGAAGAATGGGCATTCTAGAACACTTAGTGGTGCTCATCCGGAACTTGTACAGGGACCAAGAGGGCGTCTTTGAATCAAAAAAGGGCATCCTGTACTTCATGGTTTCATATCAGAAAAGATGTGCGTCAGGGTGTCATCCTTTCACCATGCACATCCAATCTGGGTGTTAAGCAAATAATCTGAGAAGGTGGATTATATGAAGAATGCAGCATCAGGATTAGAGGAAGGCTCATGAACAATGCATGATATGCGGATACAACCTTGCTTATTTAAAGGGAAGAGGACCTGAAGTGCTTACTGATGAATATCAGACCATTACACCTGAGCATGAAGAAAGCAAACATCTTCACAATTAGACCAACAGACATCATGGTAAGTGGAGGAAAAATTGAAGTTGCCAAGGTTTTAATTTTACGAGGATTCACAAACAATGCTCATGGAAGCAGCAGTCAAGAAACAAAACAACATACTACATTAGGCAAATCTGCTGCAGAAGACCCCTTAAAAACATTAAAAAGCAAAGATGTTACTTTAAGGACTAATGTGAGTATGATTCAAGCTATGGTATTTTTAATCACTTCGTATGCATGCTTGACAACGAATAAGCCAAACAAAACCCACTATTGAGCTGATTCTGACTCACAGCAACTCTCTATAGGGTTTCCAAGGCTGTAAACCTTTGGAGGAGCAGGCAGCCTCATTTTTCTCCCTTGGGGCAGACATTGAGTTTGAACCACCAACCTTGTGGTGATCAGTCCATCATTTACCCAACTGCATTGCCAGGGCTCCTTTGACAACAAATGTGAAAGACCAGGGAAAAATGAATCATTTGAAATATAATGTTGATGGTGGATACGAAACACACAAGGGTGTTGTTCCAAAACGCTTGTGGAAATATGGAACGAAAAGATACTGGGGCTTTCCAAGAACTTTTTGAAGCCCTTGTATACCATGGATTGCCAGAAAAACAAACAAATTCATCTTGAAAGACGTACAGCCAGAATGCTCTTTAGAAGAGAGGACAGCAAGACTTCATCACCTCATATAACTTGGACATGCTCTCAGGAAGGACCAGTCCCTGAAGAAGGACATCAGGCTTGGTAAAGTAGAGGTCAGTGAGAAACGAGGAAGATCCTCCCCGAGAAGGACTGACAGAGCAGCCACAACAACGGGCTCACACAACAACTGGATGGCTGGCACAGGACTAGGAGGGTGGGAGACCCTGTGGTACACAGGGTCACTATGAGCTGGAAGAGCCCTGACCCCTAATATGGAACGGACTGCACCTAACAATACATGCAGCTCACTGCAATGCATCACAATAGCCCATATAAGATGGATTAATGGGCACATGAGTTGTTTGATGTAGATCCAACAAAGCAAACAAAATGGTTTTGCCTAATGGTAGAATGCAGGTGGGTCACCAGGTTGAACTAGGAATGAAAGCTATAAAAACTTTTCAACTTTGCTACATATTTGAACAATTACAAAAGAAAAATATTGAGCCCCGCCCCATAATAATGAAACCGATTCCCGTAAAACGACTCCTACTGTCATTTGCAAATCTCCCTCTCGCAGAACTACCTCGGGCTCTTAAGACTATGTCCCAAGTTCCCAGGATAACGCTGAGAAGAACCTGCTTCTAGGAAGCTCTCCTGAGCAGCAACGCCTGGGGTGCAGCGCCTTTCTCGGTGTTGAAGCACTTTGTCAACCATCGTACACAACTTCCCTGTCCTGTGTCCTACCCTCGGGGAAGAACCGCACCTACCACAATGATGGCTCTTAACACCCCTGTGTGAATGAAATCGCCCAAACGCCGACTGCCTGGGGGACGCCTGGCCAACAGCTCGGTCCACAGCAGATACTCACTGAGTGACCCTGGACCTTTTGATGAGACCTGTGGCCGGTCCTGCCAAAGCCCCCTTTCCGTCGCACGTAGCCCTCTACCCATCCTTTAAGCTCCTCCCCATGGCAGACCCCGTCTTCCCCCGCGGCCGTCTTGTCCAACCACCCAGCTGCCCTCCCTCCCCTTCCTCCACTCAGCGGCTCCGGGCTGAGAACCCTTTTCCCGCCCATCCCGTCCTTCCCGCACCGATTTTGCCGGGCGGGGCATCTCCGCCTGCAGCAGCGGCGGCGACCAGCGTGGACAGAGCGGCGAGGAGCAGGGCAGCGCGAGCCATGGCCACTGACGACCAGGTCAGCGCGCCCGGGCTGGCGCTCGAGGGTGGGCGACCTGCTCTCCGCCCCGCGCTGGCGTCCCTGGGCGTCCCGCCTTCCGGGCTCGCTGGTCGCAGCCTCTGGTTGGACGAGCAGCCGTCGCTCTCCAGCCCAGGACCCTCATTAGCTGAACTCTCTCTCCGGGAAGGAGTCGTCATTGGCAGCTTCCTCGTCCCGCCTCCTGGATGCAGGCTTCTCATTGGCCTGTTCGTCCTAGCTCCGGCTCAGGTGCGGGCGCCCTGCGTTCACAGCATCAGGACCAGAGTCCCGCGGCTGGTGGAAGGAGTTGAAATTTTGAAGAATGGGTTCTTTGTGTCTCATGTAGTCCTTTGTTATGAAACCGGCAGTCCGATCTGTCCTTGCCATCCGGTGGTTGCGACGATCACGGCAGATAAGGGGACTCGAAACCTCTGCAGTGCCTGGAAAAACTGGGATTGCTGATCAAACAAGTAGTCAGGGTGGTCAGAAGCAGCCTTGTGGGTGTGCCAGACCTTTTGGGGGGCTGTTATTTTTGTGTGCTTAGTGTCTGTATAGTATTTCTTTCTGCCTTCTGCTTGTTAAACACCTAAAGAGGAGAGTTTCACCCACTGTCTTCCCACTGAAAGGGAAAGTAGGCAGGGGCAGGCTCCCATCCCCACCTCTCCAGTAAGAGCAGCTTAGTGTGGCTAGGTTCCAGCACTGTGCGGAGTAGATATTCCTCTGGCAGAAAAAGTTGGGGATTGAGTTTCAGGATAAATTAGGAAAATCCACTTTTTTTCCCCTTTTCAAATCACTAAGGAACTGAAAGCTCAAACCAAACCATCAGTGTTGATTTTGACTCATAGGACAGAGAAATGCCCCATGGAGTTCCAAGACTGTATGTAACCCACTCCAGTACCAGGGCTCCTAAGATCTTGATCTTGAGGATACTAAAAGCTTATAGCTGGGGTTCTAAACCAATGAGTCGGATTTACTAGCACCACTCTGGCTTAGTACTAGCAAAGAGGTAGGTGAAAAATTAAGCTGGATTCCTGACTGCCTTCCCAGTTACTGGCATATAGCCTTGTTCTGACCTCACCTTCCCTATCTCTCTAAGTGCTTGGCTTTCTTCAGCTCAGCTCACTGGCTTTTACATCTCTACCCTCTTGGGGTAATGGTCCTCAGCGGAGCCTTGTCTAAAGCTTGGCTTTACATTTTCATACCCTTCCATAATCCAGTTTCGTATATTCCCAGTGCTAGTCAGTCTGTTAGTCTGGATACTTCAGAGAAACAAATCCACAGCAACTCATGTATAAGTTTTATATAAAGGTTAAGTGCGCATCAAGAAAACATCCCAACCCAGTGCTGCCCAAGCCAAGCCCATTAACCCATATATCCAACACCAATCCACAAAGTCTTCCTCCATCTCACAAAACAGGCACCATGATGCTGACTGCAGGAGGAAAGCTGAGTCACTGAATGTGTAAGCATCTCAGCGCCGGCAGGGGTCTCCACCCTGTTGTTCCAGCATCCAGGGCTATTATCAGGGTAGATCCAAGCGGCTTCTTCTCAGGGATGTCTTGCAGGAAGTGAGCCTTGCCAGCTAAAGCAGGGAACTGGCTAAGGCAGCTACACCCTGGTCCGATCATTAGAAAGCAAGAAACCTGAAAACTTGAAAGGTGAGGCTCACTGAGCTGTTTATCCCTCTGCCCTTCAATTAACCCATGTTTATCGGCCAGGTTGGCACAATAAACTTAACTACCTCAGGCTGATAATTGCAAGATCAGCAGTTTGAAACCACTGGCCACTCCCTGGGAGAAAGTTAAGGCTTTCTACTCTTGTAAAGATTTAGTCTCAACCCCACAGAAGCCGTTTTATCCTACAGGATGCTATAAATCAGAATTGACTTGAGGGCAGTTTTTTTTACTAAGTAACTATATTCTTATTCTTACCCACCCTGAAGTTGTGGTGGCAGTTTTCAGAGGCGGCCCCTCTCTGGAGGGCTGGGCTGCTGCGTCATCTCAAGGAACTTCCACGGAGCATCAGCACAGTGGATGAGCAGTCAGCGAAGGGACTCCACCATGGCAGTGCAAATGACAAATCAGGCAAACACTCTCAACAGTGGAAGCAGTTCTTTTATTAAAAAAAAAAACACCATTTTATTGAGGGCTCTTATGAAAACAGTTATTTCAATTCAGGTTTTATTAAAGTTGTTTCTAGGCATTATAGTTCATCCTGTTTTCCCCATTTGGTTTTGCTTTCTTCTCTTACCAAAATCCTTTGCCACGAATGAGAGCACCAAATACTTTATAACAGACGGGCTGGTTCCTTCCTGGCAATGAGAACCCAAGTCCTGAATCCCCAAGGTGCTCTCTTCAAGGGAGCCAAAGCTTCCTTACACATCATCTGCTTGCCTGTAAGCCTCTTCACTTGGCCATCAAGATGAAAATCGGTTAAGAGTACAACAAAATTTTCTTGTTTCTTTTTTTTTTTTTAACCCCCACCCCAATTTTCTTGTTTCTTAAATATAAAAAACGTAGATCTTTGTTATGGTAAAACACACACACACATACACACACAAACTCACTGAAAACTGGATGGACATTCACTGTGATTGATTAGCCTGTTTTCTTAAATAATTAATGTTCATTTAACCACTCTCCATTTCCCTAGACCTTGGGGAACTGTAAAAACAATGTGAAAAATAAAAACAACAAAAATAAGTGTTTACAGAGGGCCTGCTGTAGTAGGGCCTTTACACATTTCATTTTATGCTCACAACTTTATCATGAGAACATTTTAGATAGGAAAGACTCAGAAGGGTGAAATGACTGGGGCCCAAAGTCAGAGAGGTCCCTGGGCTGTGTTTGGGTTCAAGTCCATGTTGTATGTTCTGTCTTCCTCAAAGTCACCAGCTTCTTAAGATGTTTTTTAAGGGTGTGTGTGGGATTCTTCCGAAAAAACCCTGCTAAATTCTGAGTTAGTTGTACCACTTTAAGATTCTTACTGCTCTAGTGTCATCTGCACTTCTAGATTTCAAATCTGCAAAACTACAGAAGGAAAGACCGAATTCTTCTCAAGCAACTGGCAAAAACATGGCTATCAGAGAACTCTTGAGGTAGTTCTGAAAGCATTTCCAGTTCTTTGGCCGTGAGTCATCCCGGGGCAGCTGATTTTCATGTTGCCATGATTTGCCAACCTCACGGGATGAAGGCAGAGAAGGGACACACCCTTGTGGCATGGCTCATTAAGTCTATATTACCCACTCAGGGCAAAGTCAGGGGATCCTGGTTGAACACCACCACCAATCTTTGCCTGTATGTTCAAAATGTGCATATTTGTAAGTGGAGAGGGGAGGGCTTTTGGGGGGTGGGCTTTCCATCATAGGCAGGCTTGTCTTGCTGGCCGTTGACTAGATTCTGGCTCCCATTGACCCCATTATAGAGCAGCGGTGCCCGGAGCGTTTCCTAGGCTGCAGTCTTTCCGGGAACAGATGGCCAGGTTTCTTCTCACGTGGCGTGGCTGGTGGGTTGGAACTGCTGACCTTTCAGATAGCAGATGAGCACTTACCTAGCGGGCCACCAGGACTGGTCTTTGTATTGTGCTTACAGTGATCTCATGTCCTACTGAATGGAACCATTGGTTCCAGAAGCAGAAATGGCACAAATGGTGCTCTGCTG